GGCAGGAACGCAGCTGATCTCCTGTGGATTCCTGTCTAAGAGGTTTATATTCTCGATCCACATAATTGCAGATCCCTTGGCTACTCCTCCCACGGTGGTAACAAAACCCTCCTCTATGTGCGATCTGCTTGCATAATCTGCCTCAACCATGAAGATCAGTGCTTTAGTCAGGGCAAGGAAATTCAGTGGAGGAACCTGGATTCAGTGTGTGAATTAGATTACTTCAGGACAGATACAGGTGTAAGAGAGCATGTGTGAGTGTGTGTTTTATGTCAAATAACACAACTTCTGAGGAAAGTAATGGACTGGTAAATAGGAATCCTTACGACTTCTGCATAGCAGCCCCAGACCATCCTACATGGAAAGGCTTTTGCATGTACCTTCACGACAGAGCGAAGCACTCACATGCCAGAGGTGCAAGAAATGAGTTCGTATTTGCACGGCCTCAGTTCTGCCTCCTTGTGTGGATACATCTTTAACTGTGTGTGCACTCTGTAATTATGCACTGGCTCAGTGTTTTTTTCCACAGGATCCCTGCCTCATTCAGTGCATGGGCTGGATGAGAGTTAACAGAAAAGCAGTTATTCAGTCTTGCCCACTCAGCTTCTGGCCACTCCTTTGCTTAGTACAAATCTTCTCAAGCCTATGCTGCACTCAGAATTATTGGTTTCTCATGGCATTCATCATGATGATATCTCAGATTCCCATGAATAGTAATGGATTTATCTTGCGAGACAGGAAAATATTTTATCCCCATTTTTAATGTATGAAAGGAAGGCACGAACAGACAACTGTTTGTGTGGCAAATATCCGTGAATCCTGGATATAAAAACCAAACTGCTAAAGCTAAATTAATTATATTTTTAGTACTTTCCTAGATTAGGACTCTCACTGTTTCCTCTTCTTTGTGCTTAAACACAAAGAGAAGAGAGAAAAAAACTTGTGTTTAAAAAGTATTGGCATCCAAAATGTATATTTTATATATACCATGTTTACAGTAATAAAGAGGGAATAGACAGAGATTACTTACTGAAGTTTAATTTCAATAATACTTTAGATTATATTCTGAAACTTAATAAAAACTGGGGACTAATTCTAAAATTGTATCATCTCCATTATTGCCTCCACTTGCATCATTTGCTGTCTCCCACCTCCCATGTTGACAGCAACTTTGTTGGCATGGTTTTGAGTCAGGTCTACGGTTTTTGCCAGAATTAAACCCTTACGTGTTTATGGTCTGGGGATATGCCAGACCAAGACACCCAAACCAGCTCTGAAAGAATTAATTTATTTATCAGAAGTCATTCATCCAGGATAGGAGCGTGGCCCTCCAAGCCCTCCACCTCGACCACTCAGCCTGGCTAAGGAACAAGGCAGTAGTGCAGCTGAAGGGTCGTCCCAAGCACTTTCCAGCATCCTGCCAGCTGGAAGGTATCTCTGTGTCCCTCAGGTCAGCCGCAGCACTGCAGAATGCCACTGCAACACGTCCCGCTCAGCCTTGCGCAGAGCAGTAACGTGGTAGCCCCAGGTCCCCTTCTTTGCCTGGGTGGAGCAAAATTAAAATGATCTCACCCAGCCTTTCTTCTCGGTGTTTCATTCTGGCTAGCTGGCTCCTGAACATAGGTAGAATTTGTTAAATTATCTCTATTTGCCTCTTTCAAAAGCACTTTGAGGGAGAGGATTAAGATGTTATTAAATGTATAGAGTTTCTTGCTTGAGGCTTTTTACATTGTGGGCCTTGTTGAAAAGAATGTGTGAAACTGTTTCTTTTCTTTCTTAACACACAGACACATAAGTATTGCTTAAACTTAAAATGTTTACTATTAGGCAGAAAGGAAGCATGCAAAATGTCAACATGAATGTGAATGAAATGTGAATTAGATGGATACCAAGGGTTTTAAGAAACATTATGTGATTTGC